GAAGTGTGAAGAAACTGGCAGCTCTCACACTACCGGCGACACACTCACCAGGAGCACAAAATGGCTATCACTGCAAGCCCATAAATATGGGCAAAACTTTTGGCTCACTAATCCCGCCACCAGCAATTTATCCCAAAGGAGCACTTAAGCAGAAAAACTATATATATACTGGCCAATACTATTACATGTAGCATTTTCATTTTTTCCTTACAATAAATAAAGAAACTCACTTTTAAAAAAAAAACAACACTGGCTGATAACCCCCAAAACTAATCTAGTAAACTGTAGTAAGTCATGTGACGGGATATTGCGCAGCAATTCAACAGGACGTCCAGGGAGACAAAGAGCAGAATGACTATGATATAATGTTCAGAAGCAGAATACAAAATAAGCACATTAATAACCGCTGACACTTACTCTTAATGCTGATCCAAATACTTTTCTAAGCACATCACGGTTAATCTTCACAACAACCATATAAGATGAGTATTGGTCCCATCCTTATGTTTAGATAAGGAAACAGGCACTGAGGGATTTAAGACAGCCAGTAGAACTTGAACCCTGGCAGTCAGGCTTCGGCGTGTGCCCTGCAGGCTGTGACAACATATTGTCAACAACAGCAGCAGGCAATGCTGCATTCCAAGCAGAGACAGCTCCATACACTTGAAAACAAGAATCATACACCTATCTGCAGAAATGCAAAGTATCTCTGAGGCAGAATTACAGGCATTTTGGTTTGCTCAAACTGTCTTTACTGCTTTGCTAAATAATTAATTTTTTCATAATAGGCTTTTGTGTTTTCTTAAGTACCAAAGGGCCTTGTAGAAACAGAGTGCAATAATGCAGGTCTGGTCACACAAGAATATACCCTCGAAATACCTCAGGACGAAAAACCCTTTACAATTTCAGAGACACCCTAGAGGAAAAGGTTGCTCGGCAGAGGACTTGTCAATTATGCTCAAGCTCTGAGGACTGAATAACCTAGCTCGTGCTCAATTACAGCACCAAGGCAGCCACCTGACCCAATTACTAAATGAGGCCAGGGAAGCCACTTGGCGGGATGCGAGGGAAACGTTTGCTGCTCGGGGAGCACAGAGTTGATGAGCTCCTTGGCTAGGCTCTACTGGGGTTTGCAGGAGTCAAAGCGTCTGCTCTAGAGTAGATTCCTACATGCTTCACATGCTGGGATGGGCTTCTTAATCTGAACTTGAACCATTCTTATGATATATGCCCTTGGGATACCCCATATTATGGAATGAATTGTGTCCCTTCCCCCAATATCTATATGTTAAAGCCCTAACCCCCAATGCAAGTGTATTTAGAGACAGGGCCTTTAAGGTGTTAATTAAGGTTAAGTGAAGTCATAAGGGTGGAGCCCTGATCCCATAGGACTAGTGTCCTTATCAGAAGAGTGAGAGGAACACCAGGGATGCACATGCACAGAGGAAAGGCCATGTGAGGACACAGAGAGATGGCGGCCATCTGCAAACCAAGGAAAGAGGCCTCACCTGAAACCAACCCTGTCAGCACCTCAATCTTAGATTTCCAGCCTCCAGAACTATGAGAAAATAAATTCGTGTTGTTGAAGCCACCCAGTCTGTGGTCCTTTGTTACCGCAGCCCAAGCAGACTAATGTAGCCCGGGCACCCAGAACCACTCTACTTATTTCTCTCAAGATGACACAAGAAGTGAGAGAGGGCTGTGGAGACACAAGTCAAAGCCACTCTCCACTCAAAGTCTCTAAGAGTCCTGACCCTCATCTGTGCTGGCACACACATGGAGTAGACAACAGTGCTGTCCCCTGAAAACTTCCTAAATGTACAGCCACCGTGGAAAGCAGCACCCCATGCAGTCACCCCTAATCATCCACACACTACCAAATACTGAGGGCAAAATGGGCGCACACGGTGACACTTTTCTCCAGAGATTCAAGTTGTCAACTCTGTATAAGTCTCTACTTGCCAAAGATACCAAATAATGAAACAACTTAATTTCTAGAAAACCGTATGAGTAAAATCAAGGAAAGTCATCTAAATCCCTGCCATCAGCATAACTGAGTGGCTTCAGGGGAATGTTGTTGGTGAAAATGCACAGGCAGAGCCAGCAACTTCCCCAAAGACAGAAAGCAGTTGAAGGAGACCTGAGACTACACTGTATGTTGACCCCAAAGAGCCACTGACAAAGCAAATCATGTGTACTCGACAGGCCAGGACCTTGTCCCAGGGAGCAGGAAACAGACGCCTGCAGCCCTACATACATACCTAGACGAAGTGTTTACAAAGCCTAGGGGCCACCATCCTTTAAAAAACACTCATACGGGAAGAAATGTTGTCCTTTAGAGGAGCTACACCTTAGAGGCAGAATAAAGTCTCATCCACCTACACCCAGGTGTCACCCACACAGAGGCAGAATCATAGATGCTGGAAAGGCAACACATTAAATAACCACAAATCTTAGGAGCAGTCTCTTCTTCCCTTCTCCAACCCTGTTCATTCCTTCCAGGAAAGATATCTGAGTTTATCACTAGAAGACCTTCACCACATTTCTAACGCTCACTTGCTGGCCCATCTCTTCTCTTGGGGGGGTAAGGGGGGTGGATATGAAACTGTATTACTACTGTGTTTTTACCACCAGAATTCATGATATTGGTCTTTCCTCCTTGGCTTTTATAGGGCCAAAAGAGAGACATTGGCTACTTTGATAACTTTAAAGCAGATTCCACAAATGTCACCAACAGCACAACCTTTATAACCAAATCCAGCAGCAGAACTCCATTGCTGTCCTCAAGCAATAAAGTTCAAACCACCGTCACTGCGTGATTTTCCTGCTATACTTGATCAGCTGGACCCTGACACACGTCCTGATGGCACAATGTGGCAGGTTAGCTTCAACCCCTATTTTTTCCAGCACAATTCCCTTCGTGTGGGAAGCACCTCCAAAGGCACTGGCATTCATTCAGAGCCATCCCCAAGTGGGCATCCTCGTGCTGACTATCATGCCACTTCTGGTCCTGTCTGTGGCTGCTGCACTTCCTGGCAAAGTGAAGACCGAGACACTTGCCCACCCTGCGGGTGCCATGGACCTGAACAAGAAAGAGAAGCAGAACTTCCATCTCCCTCTTTAACAACGAGAGTGGCTCTCAGCCAGAGCTGGGACAGGTGACAATGGCCTGGCAGACTAATGACACCATTTCCTTTTCACTGTCTTTATTTTTACAGTTACCTGCTATTTAAGTCAAGTGGTTATAGTGGTTCTTCATTTACATAAACGATACAAGGTTTCCTTTTTAAGTAAAGGCATTCAGGTTTTTTTAAGTGCACCATTAAAAATAAAACAAACAACTATTGGGTAAGGAATGGTACAGTGGTAAACAAATGACTGAAATTTGAAAAATAGCAACCTACGTATTCTCCTACATCCGTGTGTCCCACACACTGGTGATCTATAAATATCTGCTCGGCTGAGTTCAAGGCTGAGAAGTGCTATAATAAACCATACATTACATTACACAAAGCGAGACCGTCATTCCCGCCAGCCTCATAGTGCCCACTCGTGTCCTGTGTCACCTTTGAATCACAGAATGCCAGCTGCCTCCCAAACCCCATCTTTCCTTCCTTAGCAATGAAAGCTCTTGTTTTTTCTTTTTTTATTATTGGGCACATCACCTCCTTTGCAGCCAGGGGAGGCCATGGAACTAACGTTGTCCAAAGACACAAGAGTGGGATACTGTGGGCACCTTCTAGGAAGGGTCCTTACAGCTGGAGGCCTCCACCTTTTTCATAACATGGGTCCATTCTGCAGTCAGGGGGAGCCATGGGCTCTTTTTCAGAAAATACACAAAGCACATAAAATTACAAAGAAAACTAATTATATTGAAATAGAATGATCCAAATGTAAAAAATAAAAGTGACATAGTAATATGTCACATTACATAACTTGTAATGTCCTTGTCACATTATATAACTACTGTGTTTTCAAGCAGAAATGACATTCTGATTTTTGTTTTCATGTTAGTCATTACAGGTGCCTCTGATTTTTATCTGTGACAAAGTCACCTATTTTATTAACACTGCTATGTTTTCTACAGTTTGCTGCTGCTTGCATAACTGAAGAAAATGCTAAATTTCAGTCAGAGGTTAATGAATAAAGTTGTAATTTTTACCCTAGCCAAGTTCAGACCCCAAAATCCTATCTCTGGAAATGGAGGAATACTCTCCTTTGCCCTCTCCTCTTTTCTGCTACCTGGGATGAGAATGGGATGGCTGGAGCTGAAACAGCTATATTGGTCTACAAGGCAAGATAGAAGGAGCCCTGGTCTCTGATGACCACGGAGCTACATTACGACCCCAATGTACCTACCTCTAGACAGAGAGATGAATTCCTATATCACTAAACCACAGTTGGTGTATTCCTTGTTATAAAAAGCCATTCAAACCTAATCTTAATTGCTATTATCTCTAATACTTTTTCTGGGTAGAGAAAGTTGGAAACAGTTTGAACCTGATCCCTAGCAATATTTATTCCTCTTGGAAAGACACATTCTTTCTTACTTACAAAAACCATTCCTTCAAAATTACAAAGGAAACCCAACAAGAATGCAAGGGCTCTTCACAAGTTCATGGAAAGATTTATATTATCTTTCAATTCTATTTTTCCATGAACATTTTGAGGTACCCTCTTAGCTCCTCTGTAGCTGACTGCCTTACAAGAGGCAAACCTCGAAACCTTGAACCACAGCAGTCTCCCTTCTCTCCCAATGCCACACCACCCCTGAAGCACATCCTTTAGAGAGCACACATGCCCAAGCACCACGCATTAACCACGGTTCTGGAAACCTACAACCACACACCATGCTTCGAGTCTACAAACAGGTACACACACCCTTTATCCCGCATTTACCAAAGTCCACAGTCACATAAGCACTGCACAAAGGCACTGCTGAGATATAAAGGCCCACAAGTCATCCCAGCATTGGTGGAGGCAGCTCAGAAGGTACTTACTGATTGTCATCGACTCTGGCACCGAGGCAGAAGGTAACAGGCTGCTCAGAGGACTACCCTGACCTGGAGAACTGGCTTCCACGCTGGGGAAAAGCAGGCAGAAGGAAGTTACACTCAGCTACTTAAAATGCACAACCTCACTGTTCAAAAAACTAGCAGGTGATAGGTTTATTCAGGTACATCTACTAGAAAGGACAGAAGGCAGCCATCTGAAATTAGTCCTCATTATCTGCAGATGCCATATTTGCAAATTCGTCTACTCACGAAAGTTTATTTGTTACCCCAAAAAGGCACTATTGCAGTCATTCATGAACGTGTATGTGCAAAGCAGCCAAAAAATGAGAGTCACCCAACACGCATGTTCTCAGTGATGTTCTGCTAAAACAATGAAGGTTTCAGCTCTTAGAATGTAAACAAGTGTCCTTTTCATGGTCTACTGAGTGACACATTTTTCACAACCCTATGTCTTTGATGGTGGCTTTGCTGTTTAAAATGGTTCCCAGCTGGCAGGTTAGCTCAGTTGGTTAGAGCATGGTGTTATGACACCAAGGGCAAGGGTTCAGATCCCTGTACTGGCCAGCTGCCAAGAAAAAAAGAATTAAAATGGTTCCTAAGTGTAGTGCTAAAGTGCTGACAAGTGTTCCTAGCACAAGAAGGCTGTGGTGTGCCTTTTGGAGAAAATGTGAGTTAGATAAGCGTTTTTCAGGCATGAGTCGGAGTGCTGCTGGCCATGAGTTCAATGTTAATGAACCAACAATACATATTAAGTAAGGTGTGTTTAAACAGGAACATACATAAAACCAGGATATGTATTGATCTGTTGATAAAAATGAAAGCTCAAAGGAACCTAACCCTGTACTTTCCCTAGGAGCAATGGTTCAGAGTTCACAGCAACTTTATACCTACTATGAATGATAAGTGATGGTAGATTTACAAAGAATTTGCAACATGAAAAAATACATCTTTCATGAAATAAGTAGGGTCATCATATGGTTAAACACACACACCTCCCCCAACTAAGAGGAAAAGCAGTAAAACATCAACAGTCTAATAGAGCTGGGGGTTAAGAGTGATATTTTTTTCGTTCACTGTTGCATTTTCCAAACTTTCTAAAATAAACAGCTAGAAGCCCTGGAAGGGTCTGGTGTCACCAGTCCTTTCTGACATTGCACTAACTCTTGCAAGCCTCCTACGAATAATGTTGTTTTCAGAGAGAAGATCCTTGTCTATTCCAGGCGAGACCAGGACACCAAGCATGGTTTGGGGTAGTCAGGAATTCGCATGCTAGAGCTAAGGTTGAAAATACAGATGTCAAAGGGAGACCTGGGTGTCCATCTTAGCTCTGCCACCAAACATCCAGTGACTTTGGGCAATTCAGGTTCCCTTTGAGATACTTTTATTATTTCCCTTGGAGTCACTGGGAAAAAAAAAGAAAAAGAAAACCTACATAGTGCTTATTACATGCCAGACAGTGTACTAAGCACGTCACAAATATTATATAATATCTAAGCAACTTAAATATTATAATAATATTAGAATTCTTAAATATTATCAAAAATTAACAGATATTTAAATAATGAAAATAATAATACAGGAGGTACTCATATATGGCCCAAAAGGCGTAAAAAATAATGGTGGTATGCAAATGAAGTTTGACAAACACTCTGTTATACAGTCTGAGGGAAAAACCATCTAAGACCCTTGGCCACTTCACATTCTGTGTTATAAAGATTAAACCAAACATAAATGTGAAGTAAGGCCTTGCTCTTTAATCCTCAAAGGTACCCTCCTATCTTTAAAAAGAAATAAAATGTAGAGTTGTGAACAGGATATCTCAATCCCAAAGGCAACCTGGTTTCTTAACATTAACCTGTACTGAAGTCCAGGCTCTGGGAGAACATGGTCCTCTGGTCCTGTCCCGTTCTCCAGGCTTCCGAGAGGGGCATCTGTGTAGAGACAGCAATCACAGAGAGAAGGTCAGATCTTTATTTTCATTCCATTTTCTCCATGAGACAAGGACACAATGCAGACACTGGCTCATCTGCTAAATCTACTGACTTAGAAATTTTTTCCCACCTGCACGCTGGATTTCAATCTGCTACCCATTTGATTTTTTTTCAGACATCCTCTCAGATTTAATATCAGTCACTGATAGAAGGCCCTATACTCCCACTTAACCTGCGACCTTTTGACTTTGAGCTACCTGGAATCATGCATGAAGTCCATATTCAGTGCCAACCTCAGAGGTGTTATCAAGGAATAATAAAACAGCTTTCTGTCAGAGAAAACTGCTCCTGCCTGTAGTGCCTGGAAATGGGCACTAGAGGGCAGCACAGTCGCTGACATCTGCTGCTTTCTAAAAAAGCCGCTTTCCCTGAATTAAGTAGCATTTGGGAAAGACATTCAAAAGAAGTGAGGCCATAAATAATCTCTAGAACCAACAGGCAAGAGACATTAACAATTCTCATAAATGCATTAGCTGCTGCTCAAGTCTCCTTCCAGGAAAGCATGCAAATCCACAAGCCTTGGGCTACACGGTGGCATTAAGACCAGTATCACCCAAGAGAACACTTGCTCATTCGAGAAATTCCTGATTTGTTGATGCAACTATGGAACCAGCCTTGTTTCAGGGACAGGGGATGCGGAGATGTTTCCCTGAGCCATCCTCTGCCCCAGTCCTTCTGCTTATGCCCGATTTAGTCATGTCAAGACCCCCCAGCTCTTAAGCGGCTGAACATAAGGGAACCTTAAGAAGAGGGGGAAAAAATGTTTTATAGCCTTTTCTTCTACTTTGCTGTCCCCATCAAGCTTCCACTCACTCCTAACTCCTTCAAGAAGTTCCAATGGGAAATAAACAGTGTCTGCTTCTCCATACCCCCTTCCTCGCCACCGGTATTGTAGTTAGTTTAAGGGTGTGGGCCCTGCCAACTGCCTGGGTTCGAGCTCCTGCTTCTCCACTTTAATTCAGCATGTTGCCTAGCCTCTTTGTGCCTCAGTATCCTCATCTATGAAATGGGATGGCAGTAGCGTCAACCATACATTTTAGTAACGCCTACCACATAATGAAACTTTACATTTTAACACATCTGAAACTCCATGAGAAGGCTCAGTGAGTGGTGGACATAACCGATCCCGGCTGTCTTGGGGTCTCATACTGCTCAGCTGGAACTGCTCTCAGAGGACCCAAGGAGCCCTTCCCTTGGTTCTGACCACCACCACCCCTCCTGCATGGAGCTCTCCTCTCTTGGCCGTCATACTACTTACTGTTCCGTGGCCTTCCTTCCCCGCCATCTTTTTCTCTGATTGCTGAGTAAGGGTGTCTCTGAATCATGACTCTGAAGCCCTCTGCCCCCTTGGCAAAATCAGCAAGGTCTTGGCTGCAGTTCTCACCTCTGTGAGGATAACAGCTCTCAAGCCTCACCTCTGGCTTTGATCTTGGTCTTGAATCCCAGTCCCACATTTCTAACTGCCTGCCAGAAAGTTCTGCTGGGACACCCCGCTGGACCTTCCTCCTGATCCCAACCTTCTAGTCCGACTGCCCACTCAGCTGGAAGCTAGAAGAGCCAGCTGGTATCTAAGACCAAATCATCTCCCGCTCTGCTCACAAGCCCTTTCTATGGCACGTAGTTCAAAGGCTCAATACTTCTAAGGGGCCTTCACAGTAGGTCCCCTCAGTTCTGTGTCATCCTTACTAATCTAACTCACACATGGCTGTCAGATTCTGCTCCCTGAAGTAAAGACAGGGACTCCAACACACACATGGCAAACCCATGGCCAACAGCACCCACCCAGCATTCCAGACACAATGCCAATGTCCCCCACTTATTTCCCACCAGCCCCTTCATGACACACGACCACACCCAGTTCACACCTGTGGCGCACCGGACGCGCAGTGGCACACAAAGCAGAAATGGTCCTTCTCATCCTCACGGCCCCTTTGAGACAGGCATTACCACCCTCTTAATTTTACAGATGAGGAAAAAGGCCCCAAGACCACAGAGCTGACAAGTGCGCAAATCTGAACCCAGGTCTGCCCTGTGGCAGCGCTGAGCCCGTGCCCACTTTAGCATGCAGGCTCTCACACAGCCGGTCTGAAATGCCTGCTCTTCCCGCCACACCTCCTGGTGCTACTGCCTCTACACCTCTGTCCACAGGGTGTCCACCACCCGGGTATCACTTTCCATGCCATGCGTCCACTCGCTCCAGCACACATGTGCCTCCGGCCACTGTGTCCATCACTCACATGTTCAGCCAAGGGTTGCTGGGCCCAGCACGGGCCCAGCACTGGCCAGAGCCAGTGTCACACTGGAAGCCAGCCAGACACAGGCCTGCCCTCATGGACCTCACAGGCCACGGGGACAGGCATTGTCAAGTCATCACACAAATACATCATTACAAATGGAGGTCAGAGCAACAGAGACACAGAAGGTTCATGACAGTGTGAACCACAAGGCCTGACCTGTCTGAGGAAGGGTTGGAGGAGCCTTCTCGAAGACCGTGACACTTGAGGTGAGACCTGAAGGTTGCACCCAGGGGTGCAGGAGGCAGGAGGAGCATGTGGGGGAAAAGGGCAGGGCTCCGCTGATGGAAGGAAGCAGGCTGGTGTGGCTGGGGGCACCGAGCAAAGGGAAAATGGGAGATGAGGATGTCGGGGTGAGGGAAGCCCTGGACAGCCACAGTGAAGATTCTGGATTTTACCTTCAGCGTGGTGGAAGGGTTTGGAGCAGAGAAATGGTGCGATCTGATTTATGTTCCAAAATAATCACTCTGGCTGGTTAACGAAGAATGGATAGCGTGGGGGACAGGGTAGAAGCTGACAGTGCTGTTAAGCTATTTTGCAATGGCCAAGGCAAAAGATATTGATGAATTAGAATAGGGTGGTGAAAGCAATCAGCATATGCTTGGCTCATTCATTCCTTTCTCCTTTATATCAGTTATTAAAATCATGTCCCCTGTCCTGTCCCTGCATGTAAAACTCAGCGTCCACCAACCGGGTATCATTTCCTTTGGATCCTCAGAGCCTAGCACGAGGACTGGCACAGAATGGGAACGCTGGGTGAGTCTGCCAAGTGTGGGACCTCAGGAAGTTTACCAGGGGGGTACCTTTTCGCAAGGATCCTAAAGGCCAGCGGGGAGCTACTTTCCCAGGGGAATATCTGGCTACTGAGAGTCCAGAGTGGGAGGAAGAATGCTAGGTTCTGGAGACCAAATCCCAACGTAAATGGCAAACAGCAACACCCCAAGAGCAGCAGCCAGCAGCCCTGGAGGTCTGATGGTTCTGAGAAGCCCAGCTAACGCATAAAGAAGCCACTGGACCCAAACAGACTGCCTACTGCACACACCGCACAGCCCAGCAGTAATTCATGAACTGAACGAGCCCCCTTGGTGGGGAAAGAGACATGGTGAGCAGGGAAGTTAATCCTGAGCTGGAGGCCGTGACAAACATTCAAAACTCCCCAGTGGTCCTAGACATACTTTGGGACCACTGCCCTCTCCAAGCCCCAACCCCTCTCAGACCTTCTGCCTGCATCTACACTGCCGCTGAATGGGCAATGGTGAGGTGACCATCCCCCAAGACCCTTGGCGGTATGGACCAAGGATGGTTCGGAGATGCAGGACTTCTGTGGCCTGGCCACCAGATGCCCCTCTCTGGGACCTGCAACTGAGGCCCAGTGAGAAGTTCTGGTTGAGACGGAAGGTCACATGTCTGAGGGATGATGTTGGCACCTCAGCCAAGCACAGTCGTCCCTCAGTATCTGTGGGGGACTGGTTCCAGGACCTCCGTCAGATACCAAAATCCACAGGTGTTCAAATTTCTGATGTACAATGATGTAGTACTTGCACATAACCTACACACATCCTCCCATATACTTTAAATCATCTCTAGCTTACTTATAATACCTCATAATGTAAATGCTATGGAAGCAGTTGTTACACTGTAGTGTTTAGGGGATAATGACAGGGGGAAAGTCTGTATTTGTTCAGTACAGACGCAATTTTTTTTCCCAAATACTTTCGATCTGCTGTTGGTTTAATCCACAGATGTGGAGCCCACAATACGGAGGGCGACCATACAGGCTAAAAGGGGAGAGGTGAGAATGAAGAGAGCATAGAGAGCAGGAGAGAGAAGAGATGGGCAAACCCCCTAAGGGAGGTGGGGAGCAGGATGAGGAAGATGTAGCCCCCCACCCCGTCAAGAGTCCCCTCCACTCCAACGTCCCAGCTCCCGGGCCATGGATGCCCACGAGATGTCCTGTCATGGCACTACTACAGGAAGCTTTCACAGGGCCTTAGTACGTGCTGGCACTCTCCCCGGATCAACTCAGGGATCTTCACCCCAAGTCTGAGCAGGAGGTGATATGATCATAACCACCCCTTCCTCATGGGCTGCGGGAAGGAGTCCAGCATTATTCGGGGTCAGTCACTTCACAGTGTTGGGCTCACCTTGAGGCTTACAAGAGCTGGCTTGTTATCATCACCATCACACCATCACCCTGTCTTCTAGATGAGGACACCGACAAACAGGGAAGAGGCAGGCACTTGGCACTCCTCCCACTAACCTCACTGTGCACAGGGACACTGATGATCAGAGCGGGCACATGCTCACACCTGCATCGCTTTCGAGCATGGGGACACATCTGACCCCCACTCTGTGCTGTGGCCAGGAAAGGGCCCAAACCTGCCTCTGAGTTCCTGCTAGCTCAAGCAGGTTTCTGGTCTCTGCCAAGTAATAAGGATAGTCTATCATCCAGTTCAGAATTTCAGAAGCTTCCTGAGCAGTTGGTGGGTCCCGATCACAATTTCCTAAATCTGGGCCCAGAGAAGGGGCGTTTGTTTCCTAGGAAAATAAGAAGGGCACCTGAGCCAAGACATCTCTGGCGCAGTGGTGCTCTGGGGACAGAGGCAGTGTCGGTGACTGAGCACTTATCTTTGCCAGGTACTGTGTCAGCTGCATTGTACACCCATCCCAACAGGAGAGCCAGGCTCATCTGTGTCCCCCCATGATCTAAATGTAGCTAAACACTAACAAACCACACACAAGCGTGCTCAACCATGTGGAATGGTATGGAAATGGTGGCCCTCAACCAAGGGCAGGTTTTAACCCAGCTACTCCCTGACCCCAAAGCACTCTTCTGCACAGAGTGCCAGGCCCTTCATGGATACGAGTTTAGTTACTTTCTCCCATCTCTCAAGAGGCAAAATAACAGTCACTGTTTATGGTCCAAGTTCGATAAGCCACTGGTGAGGAAATTAAAACAGACCTGAAGGCTCCCGGGTGACCTGTCAGCCAGTTCAGCCCCACACTCAAAATACCCAGCCAAAAGCAACTCAAATACCCAGGTTCAGGAACAGCAGCTAAGCCCTCTCTTCCGCATCTCAACAAGTCCCTCCTAGCCCTGAACCCCAGTGCTATCTGTACAGGTAACTCAATATTCCTACTGGTTCTCAGAGCCAAAGCTCTTATGGGAGGAAAAGAGTAATCTGGAAACACCCACCTGCTGGGCTAAAGGAGCCCACTCCACTGATGGGGAAGAGGACATCGGTGTCACCGTGCAGCACCTGCAGCGGAGCCCAGCCGTGCATCTGGGAGAGGCAGGTATTCCCGTCCAGTGACCTAAGGTGAAAGAACACAGCTGTGTGACAGGGCACAGAGCCCCTGAGGACTCGTGACTCACCACAAGCATCTGCTGGGCCTCCACATGTGCCCTCTTGGAACTAACCAGGCCATGACGTGGCTGAAAACAGCAGGAGGTGCACGCTGGGAGTCAGGAACATGTAGTCCAGATCCAGACTTCTTGCATCCGTTCTTTCAACCCATGCTAGCTGAGCACCTGCTGTATGACAGGCACTGTGCTCGCTGCAAGGGGAAGGAGGCAGCACACAGTTTTACCCTGCCCTCATGGAGCTCACAGTCTGGTGGGCGGCAGGACAGGAATCAAATACTCCTGCAGGGAAGTATAAAACAGCAGCTAGGATTCACAGAGCCGGTCAGGCAGGTCATGGAAGGCTTCCGTGAAGAAGAGAGGTTTGAGGAGAGTACAGAAGGAAGCAAGAGCCCCTGAGCAAAGACGGGGGACAAGAGTGATGGAGGGGGAGGGAAAGCAGGTGCAGAGTGCTGAAGCAGGACGAAGCGCACTATGCTCCAGGTTCCGAAAAGGTGGCAGCCCTGTGACCCTGGGCTAGTGCTGCCTCGCCTCACTGGCTCTCAGGTCACATCTGGTCCTTTCCAAGAAAGGGGGTCAGCTCAAGTATTAACCAGGTTCATATGATCTGTTACCCTGCCACCTTATCCACAAAGCACAGAACTAATATGTACGATCTTTGTAACTCCAGGCTGATTTAGTCAGTTTGTATAAGAGAGGACTTGCCCAGTGCAGTACTTGCCTCTGGGCAATCAGGAAACACTCACAAATACCAGGATCTATTTATGTGGTTTATTAAATCACTTTGTTAACTCAGTAGATAAGGAAGACCGAAGCAGATCATAATCACACCTACTTAATAAAGGAAGACAAGAGGGGAGGGAGAGGGAGGAAAAGAGAATCCAAAGAGATTATGTGGGGCTGGCTGGTTGGCTCACTTGGTTAAAGCCCGGAGCTAATAACACCAAAGTCAAGTGCTGAGATCCTCCCACCAACCAGCAAAAAAAAAAAAAAAAAGAGATTATGTGACTTGTCCAATGTCATCAGACATAAGCAAGAGAACCAAGGCTGTGGGGATCAGAGCTCAGATCTTCCAAATCCAATTACAACAGATCGCCCACCTCCTACCTTCCTGCCACCAGGGGACATTACTTATATAGTTCTTTATTTAGAGAGGGGGTCAACAACACTTTTATGTAAAGGACCACAGAGTTAATAATTCAGGCTTTGTGGCACACTCCTCTTTGTTGGTATTCCTTTATGACCATTTAAAAATGAACCAACCATTCATAGCTTGGGGGCAGATTCAGCCTGCAAGCTGCTTGCCAACTCTTCTTTTGGAGGCTTGTCATGCAGTCTCCTTTCAGCCCTCTCCAGCTTTTAGCCATACATTTGGCACTGAGAGAGAAACAGAAGAGGAAATAATCCTAACAGAATTTTTCAAAATTTATCTTTTTTTTTTTTTTTTGGCGGCTGGCCAGCCTAGAGATTGAACCCTCGACTTCAGTGTTATCAGCACCATGTTCTAACCAGCTGAGCTAACCAGCCAGCCCTAAAATTTATCATTTAATCCTGCAGGTAATGCAATAAGATTTCAGAAAGCAGTTTGGGGGCAAAAGAGGAGATGCTCCCGCCTGTATCTTGGCAGCAGAACCTGACTTGGGCTGGTCTTAGGTGAATGTGGCTGTGCCTCTAGAATCTGTTTGGAGCAACCCTCCTGAGACTCAGAGCCGGCAGGTGGTGACTGAGGGGCCCAACACCTACACACAGTCAGGGACGCCCTCTCAGGAGAAGGCAGCAAAAACTGCCAGTCCTTCCCCAGCCATTCCACTGGCTCTGGGCAGGTGGGATTTTCTATTTGTTTCTAAGACAACCCTTGCCTCTCCCCAGCAACATAAGCGAAAGCAAGGTGAAGCCAGGGCCCAACAGGACGAGGTTTGGAACCCAAGAGAAAGTGGCACCCAAGAGCTACTGCCTGAAAATTAGTTCCATTAAAGTGATTCCTTAGGCAAAGAATGGCACCACGGATGGCTTAGAAACCTAATAATGAGTGTCGCTTTCCATCAGCAAAGTAAGACACTCATTTCAAAAACTAGACAATGCCATAAAGAGGGAAAAACAACAGCCATAGCCACATTACCCAAAATTAGACATGGTTTCCTGAGCATCTTTCTGCCTTCTTGCTATGCACGCTTTGCTTCACACTGTTGTAATGAAACTGAATGTAGAAGTTTATGTCCTGTCTCTCCCATTCAATATTAACTCATAAGTTCATCTTCATACTACTGGATTCTCTTAAACATCATTTAAGATATTTAACATCCTAAACATTATGATGTTAAGGCTTAAACTGGGAAACAGACTGCTGTTAACTGTTGCCTGTGGTTGCACATTTAGGTCAGCTCTAGTATTTTGCTTGTCTGAATAAGGACTTTGGAATCTAGATGCAGCAACCTTTCCCCGGAGCTGAGAGTGTGTCCTCAGGGCAGATTCTCAGCTGTGGGATTGCTAAATCAAGTGGGATAAACATCTTAAGGCTCCTGACATTCTATCAAACTGTTTTCCCCCAGGGCTACCAACTGCTACCAGCTGTCTATGAGGACAGTCCCTGTGCACCCCTCTTGCTGCCTCATTCATTCCACAGATGTGGACTGAACACCCACTATGTGCCCAGGACTGAGGACCCACTGAAGGCAAGCCTGCCCCCACCCACCAGGGCAACAAGCTGGGCCTCACCTTTTATACTGTTCTCATTTTATACTGTCCTGGCAAAGATGATGGGCAAAATACAGTGTCTTGTTTCATTCTGCATTTACTTAACTGCTGGTGAGATGTGACATTTTTTCATACATTTGTAATTTCTTTTTGTTTTCCTCCTCTGTAATTCTTTTTGAATTATGTCCCCCCGCCTCCATCCCTACTGGTGTCATAGAGCACATATTAAAGTAATAGAAAAAAAACCCTTTTTATCATAAAGATATTATACCCTTTGAAGAAAAAAACAAAAAGTAAAGCTAACACTTGTGGTAAATACTGAGGCAGGAGGAATAAGATTTTTCCTCAGGCATCAATGAATTGGCTTAATTACCAGTACACAGGAGTACGCCCAACTTGTGGCCAATAGATCATCTTAAAGACAACCAGAGGCTATTGCAATCCACAAGGAGCTTCTCCTGGCCTGGCCACATTCCCCACAAACATCTGCTGTGTCCCAGCCCCCTTCACCATTCCGTAGAATCAAAATCAAAGTATTTGGTTACATTAGCTTAGAATCAAAATCAAAGTATTACTCAGTAGGCCCTCTCATCATGCCTCTGCTCCTTCCCCAGGGGCTCTACAGAATTTTCGATCAAGAGAGGCTCAGGAGAGGCTGTCCATAGTCTGCGGGAGGCCCAATGGCCTTGGAGGGCCCGGGCCCCCGTAAGGGTCTCCTGCACTGTTTTGTGCTTTTACACATCACAATGGTAGCAGCTACCTTGGCTGGCAAGCTGACCTCCCCCTCCAGGCTCCGCTCAATGGCACCAGTGGGATAGAAAGAGGAATGACTATATTTGAGGCCAAGAACCCATGGAGTAAATCAACTCAGAGATGTACTCATTACGGAGTCACAGAATGCATGTGGCCTTTCCTAAAAGGCCCAGAACAAGCACCAAAGGCAGGTGTGATGGTTCATTCCATGTGTCAACTTGGCTAGGCCATAGTACCCAGATATTTGGTCAAACATTATTGTAAATGTCTCTGTGAAGGTCTTTTTCAGATGAGATTAACATTTAAATCATTACACTTTGAGTAAAGCAGATCACCCTGCATAATGTCGGGTGGGCCTCATCCAGCCAGTGGAAGGCCTCAGTAGCAGGACCAACCTCACCAGAGGAAGAAGGAATTCTGCCAGCAGATCATCTTTGGAATTGAATTGCAACTCTTCCCTGGGTCACCAGCCTGTCCTCCTACCCTGCAGATTTTGCCAGCCTCAACAAGCATGTGAGCCATCCCTTAAAAGAATTCAAGAGAGAGACAGAGAGACAGAACAGAAATAGATAAAGATGGAGGTAGTGATAGAGATAATGATAGAGTGAGAGCAAGAGAGGACACACACACACACACACACACACACCCGTCACTTCTGTTTCTCTGGAGAACCCTGACTCATACAGCAGATCACAAGACTTGGATCCCAGGTACAAAAACATTCACAACCTATGAACAAGAGCAAAGCTGCTGAAAAGCTACCATAACAAATAATTCAGGAACAGAAAAGAGCCTTATGCATGAAAATGGGTTTTTTTTTCTTCAAAACAAAACAAAATAAAAATACCAACAACCTAAATACTCAACAGTGGGGGAAATCTTTAGCAAGTCATGACAGAGTGGTCTGATTGAATAGCAGCTGTATTAGTCAGGGTTCTGCAGAGAAACAAACCCAACAGGATTTTATAATGAGGTATTGGTTCACATGATTATGGAGGCCAAAAAGTCCCATGACCCACAGATCTAGGAAAGCTGGTAGTGTAATTCAGTCCCAGCCTGCAGCCTGAGAACTAGGAGAGCAGATGGTGTACATCCTAGTCATAAGGCAGGAAAAGACCAGTGTCCCAGCTCAAGCTGGCAGGCAGAAAAGGAATGATTTCTCTCTTCCACCAGTTTTTGTCTATTCAGGCCCTCAATGGATTGGATGACACCCACCCACATTGGGGAGGGCAATGTGCTTTACTGAGCCCACTGATTCAAATGCTAATCTCATCGGGAAACATCCTCACAGATACACACAGATCTAATCTTCAATCTGGACACCTAGCGCCCTGTAACACCAAGGTCAAGGGTTCAGATCCCCATACCGGCCAGCTGCCGGAAAAATTAAAAATGTAATCTGGGCACCCCATGGCCTAGCCAAGTTGACACAAAAAATGAACAATCACATCGACCAATGGATATTCATAATTACGTAGAAACACAGAAAACACGTGACGGTATAAACTTTGGAGTACTGCATATCCAAACCTAAATCCCAGCTTTGCCAATTGCTTTGACAAATGTCAACTCTCTATGGAATCCTGTTCTTTCATCTATTAAATGGGAGTGATACCAACTAACCTCCCAGGGTTGCTGCTAAATATTACAATAAGGTATATAAAGTGTCTTGCAGCATCTGGCATATCACAGATGATCTATAAAGTAATACTACTAACACAAGTATCCATGTGAATGAGTAAAAATTTTTTTAAAAATTAGGCATGTTCTCAGGAGAAAGGAAAAAAACTAATACTAAAACAACATGAAAATGAAAAACTCAGGGCTAAAGGCATACTGTGTGCCTTAATAATGCCATGTCACACGGAAAGATACATTTCCATATATTCATTTTACACATTAATGAGCTGGATTTTGAAGTCAGCCATGATCACATGATGGCACTGTGCACTATACAGCCTAAGTAAGGAGGTAACTAGCTTATCTGGCAGTAAGAATAAGACAAGTGTAGTACAGCAACAGCAGCAGCTGACCTGTGTCTAACTCAATGTGCCAGCGCCTGTGACAAAGCCCCACACCACCTATCCCATCAACTCAACAACAACCCTACAAAGCAGGTGTTGTGATTCTCCGGGGTCTCAGGTGAGGCCACAGGCTCTGGGAGGTGAAGTAACTCACCCAACCTAGTCCAACCTAAGCCCGTGCCAAGTAAACAAGGACCCAGGCTGTCTTGACTCCAAGACCCAAGCTCACACAAACTGTGCCTTTCTGCTTCATGTCTCCACCTGCATCAGCCCCGCCCACAGGTATAATCTACAGCAGCTCTGGGGTTAAGGCAGCAAGTGTGAGCAAGTTATTGCTGCTGTTCACAGCCCTGCAGATAAACCCAGAAATCACCAGCCCGCAACTATTCTCTAGACTAACCTTGCCTTCCTCCTGAGCCACCTGCGCTAGTGGTAAAACAGAGACACAAGGAAAACCCAGTCAAAAAACGTACATATAAAGCATGGGTTTCAAGGCAGATATCTTACACTAACGTTGTAATAAGTAGCTTCAAGTGTACTCCCTTCCCCTCTCTTAGTTCTCAGGAAACAGCAAGCTCACGCTCCTTCCTCTTACATCAAAATCTGGAAAATGAATACTGCCCTAAGCAAATATAAAACTTGCATTCTTACTTCACCCAATGCTGCAGAAAGAGAAGCGGTTAACATAACACCTTTCATTAAAAGCTCAAGCAGAAGAACTCACTTCTCAGGCGACTGCAAGTGGCCCACGCGCTTCCTTCCTGATGAGTTCCCGTACACATCATCCCCGTTTTCATCCACATTTTCATCATCGATGCTTTTCACATCGAGCTTCTGGTACCCAAACTCCCCATTCAAAGACAGAGAATCAATTTTCCATGAGTTGCTGCTCTGACTTCCATTGGAATTTGGCCCAAAGGGGCTTTCAAAGGCAGACAAGATATTGACCGAAGAGCGGTCGGAGTTCTCTTCTGAGCTCTCCCCTGCCCCAGGTATCTTTTTAAAAACATCCCCAGAGTTCTGCTCATCTTCCTCATCATCAAATGAGATAATGTTGGTCACCTTCTTTTTCTTCTTCCGCTCCTTTTTACATCTGGCATCTGGCAAAAGAAATGTTATGGTAATAAGAAAAACTAAGTGAGACAAAAAAGTAATCAAGCCATCTCACTTCTAGGTTACAGAAAATCCTCTACTATTCTATTGAGAAATAAGCTTATGATAAATTCAGATTTTTTTAAACTCTCGAAAAAAAATTTTTCTACAGAAGACTGAGCAAAACGGATGTGGGTCTCTACCTCTGATTAAAATACACACACCACAGAGAATACATTAAAACTGCTCTTTGTAAGCAATCACTTTGATTCAAAGGATGCTATAATTACTGAAATGATTTTTATTGTTTCACTTTGGAAAATATTCTCATGGCTGGCAGACAAAACCAGGATAACCAGTTTGGGGTTTATAGTCGATTGTTCAATGACCACAAATTCCTACTGCCCCTGGACATGCCCCTTTGCAATGGGACTTTGCTGCCACTCCCATCCAGAGGTGGTATCTATTTCTGCAACCCCTTGAATCTGAGCTGGCTTAGTGTTCTGCTTTTACGAAGAAAATGTGGCAGAAATGATGGTGTGTGAGTTCTACAGCCTAGGTGTCAAGAGGTCTCACAGATTCTGCCTTCACTCTCTTGGACTGCTGCCCTGACACCACTATGTAAAGAAGCCAGTTTAGCTAACCGGAGGATGACAGGCCGTGTGTAGACCTGAGATGCCCAAGCACCAATTCCAGACACATGAGTGGGGCCATCTTGGATCTTCCAACACAACCACCAGCTGCATGCAGCCCCCTGAGTGAGCCCAAGGGAAATCAGCAGAACCACCACCATGCCATCCCACAGAAACATAAAAAAATAAGGGACTATGGTAGTTTTTAGCCACTACATTTTGGAGTTGTCTGTTACACAGCAAAGACTAAGTGAAACGGAAATCAAAATTGCCTTGGTGACCAGTGCTAAGATGAGCCCATCTGTTTGCCCATCTCAGTCATCAAACTTAGATGTGAGACTTCGAGACAATTCCAAAAAATTTAACCCATCTAAACCAAGGTATGATGTGGTGATGCCTCCCCAGGGTACCACACTCTGAAATAATTTCAAAAGCTGTGTTCCAAAAATGGATGGGACTGATACTCCTTTGGATATACAAATTTCAGTGTCTGTTACACAAAGCCCTCAACAGTCCTGTTTCCTACGTCATTCATGTGGGGGTCTCTGCTTGAAAAGGAGAGGATAAGACAGATAAAGTCACTGTGTACCAAAGAATCCATGAGATTCTGAGTTTTCAACATTATTAATAACTCCAAAGGGATGGCCATGGTTACTGCCTTGTTTAAGGGATTTGAGATTACTGGGACTAAGAACTTAAATCCAAAATTTCCAATTTTGCTATAGCAACATCCTAAGGTCTCGGAAAGCTCAAGGGGTATTATAAATGTCTTGCAAAATTTGTCTTAACTGAACCAACTTTCTTTTGCTCCCCCACAGCCTAGAGTCAAAGCTGATAAATTCCTCTCATCCTTCAGGCCTCCACTTACATATCCCCCCAACAAGGGAAGCCCAATAGTATACACTCTCCACAGCACCCTATGCTTGGCTTTCACCCTATTTATCATAAGGTAGTAAATTATTTGTGTAATTTTTCATTAAGTATCTACCCCCAACCATCCCAAAGGAGACTGGGTTAACTGCTGGCAATCTGTCTGTCTTACTTAGCTCCCTACCTAGCACATAGAATACAACAGATGAGCCAATGAATAAATGGAAGGAATAAACGAATGAAGATCAGCCTCATCTGGCTTCCTGTGACTATCCCACCCTCACTTTTGCTCTGACTGAGCTCTTTTGGGTTAGAGCACAGCCTTATAACACCAAGGTCGGGTTCGGATCCCCATACCAGCCAGCCGCCAAAAAGAAAATGCAAGAGCATCAGGTTTTGTTCTCCTTGGAATGACTTTCAGATGATAAGGTTTGTCCACGTCAGCCACACTCCGCTGTCCTTTCAACTGACTGTTCCCCCCACACACACACATTCCACCTCAAGGGTCTGTTCTCACTCACCGGCACTGACATTCTTGGACACGACAGGCAGAGGGTCGGTCTCCTGTTCAGGTTTGATGAGAATGGAGACAGCAGAGGAGGCTGTGATCTCCCTGAGAAGGCTGCTCACTCCTTGCGTGGATTCCTTCAGCAAGGAGGTCACATTCTGTGTTGACTCCTTTAAGAGGTCCGAGACAGTGGGAGCAAACTTACTCTGCCCATTTAAATCCTTGTTGTCGATGTTAATTGCAAAGAGGATGGAGTTCAGACCTGCCCAAAAAAAGATGTGTTTGCTGTTGAGCAGTCAAATGTTCAACACGAGAAACAAGTTGCAGACAATATAGTACACAAGAGGATACACACTGTATTTAAACATTTATAAAAACATCCCACAGAACTGGGGCCAGTAGTTGCCAGCTATCATGGGAACTGAGCCTTTCCCTAGTGGTCAGGAAGATTCTCTCCCTTAGGTTAGGAAGACATATAAAAATAAGCCAACCAGGAGGAGGTGAGGGTATACATTCTGGGGTCAGACTGCCTAGGGTTGAATCCTAGCACTGCAACATACTAGTTATGAATCCTTGGTCAAGCAACTTACAATCTCTCTGAGCTTCAGTTTCCTTATCTGTAAAATGAAGACAATATTATCTCCCTCAAAGGGTCATAAGTATTAAAGATAATCACTCACCAAAAACAGCTCAATAAGCAATAAAAAATGTGCAACAATAACATCACTATTATCACTTTAAGCAAAAGTTTATACAGGTATCTTAGGGCCTACAAAGGAAATCATGGTCAAACCATGACTTTTTCTCACCAGTGGACAAGATTAACACAACCCTCACTATGTGGGATTTAGTGTAAACTTCCAGGAAAAAAAAAAAAAGGGATGCAACAAAGAATTTGGAAGAAAGAGGCAAGTTGCCCACTTCTGTCCAGTTGATTCCACCTTTCACCCTCTGAACAAGAGTCAAACAGCAGTTTCACAATCCACCAAGTAACAACAATCCGAGGCCATCGTAGTGACAGATCATGCATGAACATGACTCTTTATCACACAATTCTCTCACAGCTCTTTAAAGGTGACTGCTGAGTTGTCAGGATTTCTACCTCCCCAAGGAGGATAGTAAAGATTACAAAGCTCACAGGATCTTCCCCAGATCACCAGCCAGGGAGGGGCAGAACCAGGATTCAAAGGGAGGTCTCCCACCTCCAATTCCCTGGTGCTTTATATTTATACCTGCAAAGTCACAACCATAAACCTTCAGCTCCGTGCTTCCTCTGCTAGGGCATCAAATTCTAGATAAATGGACCCAGCACTCAATTCCACTTTAGAGGATAGCAGCGAGTGACTCATTAAGTTGGTAAAGGATGAGAAAACCACAGCATCCCTGGGGGTTGTAAATATACTCCCAGGCAGCCTGGGAGTATATTTGCTCACTGAGTTCCACAGGACCCATCACCCCAGGCTTGGCCAGGCTTACCAGCCGCCATGGTGGGAAGCATGCTAGACCTTTCTTCATCCATCACAAAAGACCAGTCTTCATAAAAAGTGCTGCAAATTGAAAGAGAAAAGGAAAACATTCTTAATAGTGGTTTGGTTCTCTGTGTCCATTAGCCCAGCAATTCCATTAGATGGCTCTCTGGAAGATCTGTGCCTAGTCATCCCAGAGAGGATACCGTGTATCTGAAGTCTGTGCTGATTTAAAGCTTCTGGGTAAAAACAAAGGACTGAACATACATATCCTACAACTTCCTCATTGGTCCCCTGAGATGCCAAGTTTTATAGTACTGAAATAGACATGATATATATATGTATTTATAAAGCAGCAAAGTAGAAAAGGACAGAGGGGTAAATTCCACTCAAGCAATGTCCCCAAGAGACAGACAGGAAATTCAAATTGGTCAACAAGGCTTGCCTAAGTTGGCTAATGCAAGAGACCATTTCAGAAAAAAATTATAGAGTTCCATGGCCCTATCAGCCAGAGCAAGGACATAAAATACCTGCTTGGGCTATGACATGAAAGCCCAAGTTATCCTTGGAAAGGGCTGAGAGGCTAAAAAGGCCTCAAAAATCTCAATGGCAGTTGGGGTAGTGGTTCAAAGAAGCCTATAGGGCCTGTCCAAGGTCATCTGGCCAAAAAATGGTACAGCCAGGGCTTAAAAGCAGATCTACCATGTCCAATTTCCAAGCTCTTTATATCACTCCCTGTTAAGTAATAACAACCAAATATCCTCAATGCCATGACTTCCACACCAGGTCATGGAATTCTAAATTAATGGAGTTAAAGCTCAATTTCACTAAAGCAAAGTCAGTGATGAGTGACCTGCATGTAGTTCAGTAGGAGACAAGAAAAAGTAGCTGCAGAGGTGACCGAATACAACTAACAGAAAGAGAGGAGAGACACATTTCCAATATATTCACCCAGCAAAATGTTAGTGGATACACAAACCACATGTTCAAGCTGGCATTTCAACTATACCTCTGATTCCCAAAATTGTGATCCTTTGAAAATCAGAGCCAGTTTTCATGTGTGTAAATAAATTTGGTTTCCCCACATTGAGTTAGAGAAGTGGCTAGTGATTCAGGTAAGCCCATCTGTGATACTTAACTACTAGATTCACTTCAACTTCCCACTGTTAATTCAGCTTTGATACTGAGTATGTAACTGAACTACTTGCAAATGATCTGCTGCAAAGAGCTTCACAAAAATTCATTTTAAGAAACATGAGTATGTTCTCCTTAACTAAAGCTGGTGAATGCTCTAGAGGTACAGACATTCTCAGCCTCCCAACTCAGACACTGAGCAGGACACAGGTACAGTCAGTGCCAGCTGTCCTGGCTCCCGGCCCTCCCATTCCAGACCCAAAGAGTCTGACATAGGCGTCATGGGCACAACCAATGGGAGAACTTCAAGGGTATTTTTAAGAGCCCTGGTGCACAATACCAAGACACCTGAGAAACTACTCATACAGAGGTGACCACAGCAGCAAAAGAAGCAGAACAGACATGAGTCAGGGAACACGCAGCAAGATATGAAATCAAAAGCCTACATCACAGTACTGAAGAAATGCCAGTTTATTGAATTAAATGAAATTTCACTGTCAAGGATCTGGGCATTGCTGATTTGGAAGTTATTCAAGGAAACAGGGCAGGATTGATCAATGTCCCTCTGTATCATCAGAAGACAAAAAATATGTCCAGTCCATCATTCTCAGAGGAAAAATTGCAGCCAGAGTTAGAGCAAGAAAGATCATAAATATTACAAGTGGAGGAAAAATGACAGGAAAGAAAAGACCGACATGTTAGCAGAGTTATCTCTGTGTAAATTATGAGTGATTTTTTTTTTAATCCCAGTGGGCTCTACAGCATTTTCAAATGTTTTTAAGAAAGCGTGTTTGACTATATGATCACAGACTCATATTCAATGTCCTCTCCCCACCCAGCTGTGCTCAGGTGTGGCCATGTGACTTGCCACTGTGGGCAGAAGCTTGAAGAGCCAGTGCTTAGTTCAATCATATATCCTTTTCCTATTTTGACAATCATGAAAGCATTTGTAGAGACAGAGCCTCTGGGACCTAGGTTCCTGAGATGAGAAAGTCCCTGCTCAGCCATGATGGATATGTAGCATCAGGAGGAAATAAACCTGGGTGTCTCATGCCACTGAGGATTTTGTGGTGTTTGTTACTGCAGCATAACCTAACCTATACTAACTGACAGAGTGAACTTTATCTTTATAATCAAGAAAAAAGAAAACATAATAAAACAGAGTTTTTAATAAAAACAAATGACTTCTTTCCCCAACTTAACACTACCATAATTTTTTTCAGTCAGTTTAGGATTGGGTGAATGAAAGAATCCCAAATTAAAACTCCATACAGTGAAGAACAGCCTGTATCCTAAAAAACAATAAACAATGATTAAATAATACACATTGATTGAGTGCTGGTTTCACAGCAGGTACCATGCTGAACTCTTTACAGGCATTTTCTCATTTATTCCCAACCAACTGTCCCCACAGCACATCCAAACAAATTGGGGCTGTAAGAGGGGAACCCACTTGCCCCAGGTGGATGGTCTGGGATGCAGATTCAGGTGGGATGACTCTAGATTCCTTGATCTTCACCCCTCGGCTCCACCCCCTCCCAGAACCCGCCGGCCCTGGCACCTGAGCCTGCCGTGGTCGGCCAGGAGCATGTGCAGGTAGCGCTCCAGGGAGTGCTCGTTGAGGGCACAGCGCAGCCAGGCCCGGCCGCGGCCCACGTCCGAGGCGATGTGGCGCAGGGAGTAGAAGCGCTGCAGCTCGTGTTTGTTGAGGACCTCCTTCACATAGTACCAGAACACGGGCTCTGGGGAAAGAGGGCACAGGTGCTGTGTCACTCAGTCTGGGATGCTCATTGATTTTAGAGCAATGGTCCCAAGGCAACTTTTTAGATTATAAAAGCACATCCCAAGCACAGAAAAGGTAAGAGATACAGAAGAGTATATCAGAAATAAAAATGACCCCAAAACCCACCATGCAGAGATGACCATTGTTAACATTTTTAAAACTTCCTTTTGGTCTTTTTTTCCTGCACTTTTCTTTTTTATGCAAAATCGACATTTGTGCTAGACTGAATTATGACCCCCAAAGATATTCACATCCTAAACTCTGGACCATGTGAATGTTACCTTACACAGCAAACAGGTCTTCGTAACTGTGATTAAGGATCCAGAAATGGGGAGACTATCCTGTATAAGCCCTGTGGGCCTGCTGTAATCATAAGTATCTTTATAAGAGTGAGGCAGAGGGAGATATAATATAGAAGAGAAGGTGATGTGACCAGAGGAGCAAAAATTAGAATGATGCAGCCACAACCAAGGAATGCTGGCAGCCACCAGAAGCTAAAAGAGGCAAGGAATGGATTCTGCCCTGGAGCCTCCAGGAGGAACCAGCCCGCCATCATCTTGACTTTAGCCCAGTAAAACTGATTTTGGACACCTGGCTTCCACAACTGTAAGAGAATAAATCTGTTTTGTTTAAAAGCCACCAATTTTGTAGTACTTTTTTACAGCCATAAGAAAATAGTATAACATCATATTGTATGAGCATATGTGCACATACAAATGCTCCTCCACTCTCAATGTGGTTACATCCCAATAAACGCATTGGAGACGAAAATACTATAAGTCAAAAATGCATTTAATACCCACCCATCATAAGTTGAACAATTCTAAGGCAAACCATTATAAGTCAGAGACACTCTGTATATATGTATAATTCTGTATCCTGGTTCACTTATTTTCTTATCTAGATAATGAACATTTTTCCTATTACAATAAAAGTCTCTGAAACATGATTTTCTGATGGCTTCCCAGTGAAACATAACTTAACTATTCCTCTAGTACTGGAAACATGATACACTGCCAATTTTCCCTCCATACAGCAATGAACATCTTTATACATAAATAATTGTCCTCATTTCTAGTTTCTTAGAAGAGATTTCCATATGTGAAATTACTGGGTCTGAGCATAGGAATAGATTCAAGGCTTTAATAAAAAGCTAAAAAAGTTTACTTTTATCCATAAAATAGTCACTCTTACAACTACTTGCATCTCCTCACATCCTACCTTTTTTTGTAACTGTAAGTATGTATGTAATTTTATGACCAGTTTTCTTAACATTGGTTCATCAACACTTTTTCATGCTGCCAACAATAAAAGCAGCAACAGCAGCTACTATTTATCGAGCATTAACTTTACACCAGCCATTGCACTAAATACTTTATTTCTGACCTCATAACAGCCAAGGCCATCTCCATGTCAAAGACAAGGTCTTAGGTCTGGACAAAAGAAGTAACTCGCCCAGAGATATACAGTTAGTAAGCAGTTCAAGAGAAAGGAACCTCAAAAAAAAAAAGAAAGAAAGAAAGAGACCTCAGAGCTAACTGCAAACCACTGAACCACGCCGCCTTGCCAAATGAGGGGACTCTACCTTCTTCAAAATGATCATGTCCACAACTGCTTAATATTCTAGGGGGCAAATCTGAATCTCTGCAGCCAGACCCAGCTTCCAATCCAGGAGCTAACCAGGCTCACAGACCCCTCTGAGAAAGTGACAAAGTATTTGAACCTTCCTTCCAGAAGGATGCAAAAACAAACATCTCCAGAAACTAGATGCCAGGTTGATAAGCTCACTAATATTTCAATTCAACTTAACTAGGATCAACCACATTCTTCTAGTGAGCCCTAAACTGGGCTAGGCTACAGGCTACGAGGTAGAGACAAGGACTCATCCCTAAGGGGCTTCCAGTCGGGTAGTCAGCTCAAAGGGAAGAAGAGATCATTCAGCCAGATGACCCTGGGCAAGCCACTCAACCATGCTGAGCCTTGGATTCCTTGCCTGTAAAATGAACACAAAAGTATAACATCGTCCCAGGTTACTGGGATAATGGAAGGAAAGGGACAAAAAGCGCTGAGCACAGTGCCCAGCCCAAGATGAACAAGCACGCTTAGCATAATAATAACCGTCTTAGAAGAGGGCACTTGTGTCGCTGCTTCTTTTTTCTATTAACAGCATCCAAATGTATAAGTATACATGAGTGTGCATACATACTTGTGAATCAAACCAAACTTTGGGATCATTTAGAATAAACTTCCCAGGAATGACTGAAAAAACTACCAACAGGGCAGTTCATTCAGCACTATCTTCTGTCTCAATCCCTAAAAGTCAAACTAATCCCCTTTCCAAACTCATCAGATCTATCCAAACCACACAAAGGTACAAAACAGCCTTCTTTCCACTTGCCCCCTCTCTCAGAAACCAGGACGGGCAGAATTTGGGAAGAGCAATGCCCTAGGCCAACCGGCCAATAAACATGTTTAGAAACACCCCAGACAACTATCATGTTTCAAATCAAGTAATTCACCTTCATCCTGTCTTTCTTAAAAAACGCAGTCACCTCCCTCTGACCTTGAATGAGTAAGAACACTTTACAGTGTGTTTCACCTTTCAATTTTGCAAATTGCTTACTGCTACAGAATCCTTTTAAAGCTCTTCAGAGTGATGCTGCTGATAATAAGAATTATCCCTGTAGGGTTCCAGTTCCACTGCCAGAATTAATGTGGTCTATTTAAAGTGCACCTCACCTGCCAATTAACACATGGAGTGTCCATAATTTAATTTGAGAATATGTTCCAATCTGTTTGCAATATGGGGTTAATTCCAAAAGTGGGCAAGTGCTTCTGGTTCCCTGAACACCTAAAAACCAACTGCCAACAAGAACAAGAGTCAGGAAGGGGGTGTTCAGGTGAGCTGCCCTGGGGCACTTGTTAGCAGAGAATGACTAATAGCACTGGACTTTTGGCAAAGTTTCTAACAGGCCTTGGTTAGTGTTGAGAATTCATACTTTGGAGACCACAAGGAAGACAAAAACCTTGGCTCAAATTCTGTTTTTAGGCATTGTGTGAGCTTGGGCAACTTATTTTGTCTCTATTTTCCTTATCTGTATAATGGGGATGACAGTACCTACCTCTAAGGATTGCTATGAGGAAATAAAAGTACATGTAAACTAACAACAAGGTCAAGGGTTCGGATCCCTGTACCAGCCAGCCACCAAAAAAAAGAAGAGTACATGTAAAGTGTATCCAATAAATGCAGTCAATAAATGTTAGCTATAATTATTAACATACCTGGCAAATAACTGGTGCCCAGTGAAAAACAGCTATGAATATCATTACTACCCTGGCAACAAAAGCCTGGGCACTAAGGCAGGCAAACAGCAGCTCTTCCCCTTTCCTCTAGAAACAGCATCCCTCTTTCCTATAGGAAACGTGTTCCATCAGTTCCTTGTGAAGCTGCCTTCAGCACTACCCCAACCCCTCCCTTCCATGGAACTGGGCAGCAAACCCAGCGGGGGCATCATCTGGCCATTGCAGGGCATCTGCAACTTTCACATAAATAGTTAGGAGGCAGGCAGCTGGTTCACGGCTGTGCAGAGACAGAATCTCATTGTCACAGAGGACTGAAACAACTCTGGGCATCACATTCACAAGTGGAGCAGGAAGAAAGAGGACAGGACAAAGCAGCTTATCAGCCCTTTTATAAGGCAAGGATTTGTAATCCTGGAAAATCATAAGGGAGCAGAGAAATTAGAGAACAGAATGTCAAGACTGGCTTAATCACTTGTGATCCATTACCGGGAGAAGGACATACCACAGCCACAAGCAAAATCAGGGTTCTATTAAGCCAAGGAAGACAGGGGGAATAGATTTGAGGTAGGAAACAAACAGAATCAGCCATATTTGGTGTCAACCACTCCAAGAACAAAAGGGAAACCAAAATTTTCCATATTCCTCCCTGAGAACTGGATACAGGTGTTGCAAAATCCCAGTCACATCCCAATCTGGATAAGCCCGACTGCAAGGTGCAAATGGACTGGCAAAGCAGAGTTTCCAATTAGGAACTGTAGTTTTGTCACTTGGCCATCTTCCAACTAGCCACAAGACTGCCTCCTGGAACTAGAACATAAGGACCATGATTTAAATACAAATCATATATAATAAACACTTATATAAAGTATGTATACTTGACACAATTTTTAGCTTTTTAAAAAACTGTGGTAAAATATACATAATAAAGTTTTCCATTTTAACCCTTTTTTTTTTTTTTTTTTTTTTTGGCAGCTGGCCAGTTTGGGGATCTGAACCCGTGACCTTGTAGTTATAAGGCTGCACTCTAACCAACTGAGCTAAGCGGCCAGCGTTTTTTAACCATTTTTTTTTTTTAAATGATGAACGATAAGAGGATCTTAACCCTTGTCTTGGTGTTGTCAGCACGATGCTCTAGCAAGTGAGCAACTGGCCATCCCTGTATGGGGATCCGAACCCATGGCCTTGGTGTTATCAGCACCACACTCTCCCAAGTGAGCCACAGGCTGGCCCTGTTTTAACCATTTTTAAGTGTATGATTCAGTGGCATTAAGTACATTCACAATGTTGTGCAACTATCACCACTATCCATTTCCAGAACTTTTTCATCATTCTGAACAGAAACTCCACACCCATTAAACAATAACTCTGCCATTTTCCCCTCCCCCAGCCCCCCATAACTTCTACTTTCTATCTCTATAAAACTGACTATTCTAGGTTCGTCATATAATATAACATCAAACAATATTTGTCCTTTTGTGTCTAGTTTCTTCAACATATTTTTGAGGCTCATCCACTTTGTATCATGTATGAATAGTATTTCATTCCTTTTTGTAGTTTTATAATATTCCATTATGTGGATATACTACATTTTGTTTATGCATTTATCTGTTGACAGACATTTGGGTTATTTCCATCTTTTTGGATACTGTGTAGAAT